CTCCGGCCCTCACGGCGCGGGCAGCGGCGCCGCTCGGTTCCTCTCACGGCCGTGCGCGACCGGCTCGCTAATAAACAGCGGGAGTAACGCGGCTGCCGGGTAAGTGTCAGTCCCACGAAGGCCTGTGTGCGTGCGTACGTGTACCTAAGCTCTCCTGATGTAAATGGACGGTTTACAGTACGTCAGACTAAGCGTGTGTTCAGGTGCTGGCCTCCTGTTGCAAAGGCTTCGTTCTTGGAGCGCTTCTAGCCAAGAACAGGGGCCGCATGCTGCTTCTGCGTGTGTATGTTTAGCATAGCTGTGGGTAATCCAGCTGCTGGCCCTGTAAGGCAGTGGTGTTTGTAGCTCTGCTGAGTTGGTTCAGTGCTGCATGTCAGAGGCTGCTATGAGGAGAACAGGCTGTAGTATTTCTTGGCCTTTATGTTCCAGGTATTGAAAACCTGCCTTGTGAGCTGCAGAGGAACTTCCAGCTGATGCGGGAGTTGGATCAGAGAACAGAAGGTGTGTTTGGGTATTTTGGTAAGCGAAGTCCAATAGAGAGCCTCAACCTGAAGGACAGGAAGAGCCCTGTGGAGACTCAGCTTTACAGGACGTATCTCCCCTCTAATGCTTTTTCTTTTCTCAACCTGAGCACTGTGCAGCGTTTGTCTCTTTTCTGTGAGGGCTCCAGCTCACAGGACTAGGTATTTTTTCAGCAGTTGCCAGTTAACTTCCAGCTGTGTGATCACAGTACCTGATGGCCCCTTGGATGGCCTTACTTGCACACATTTCTACATCTACCGAATTGTAGGTTGCTGTGTGTCTTGCAAGACCAATTTTTTTTGTTTTTTGAGGTTTGTGTGGTATCTGGCTGCACATTAATGATTTTTAATTTGAACCATTAGAATGGTAAATGGCTGTGTAGCAAATATAATGTTTTGCCTGTGGGAAGAGAGGCTGAAGTTTGTGAAGCCATTGGTTCAGTTTCTGATCTTAACCATGAGCCCCTCCTCTGAATTAACTGTAAAACTCTTGAGAAATCGGAATCACACCACAAGTGTTGAAAAGTGAATACCTTTAACTTCATTTTTTTTTAAAAAGGTAAATACATTAAGGGATCGGGGAAGTCAGAAAACTGTCAGGAGAGGTCTTCTAAATACCGTAAAGAGGTAGAAGAAAAAACTACTTGCTTGGGCAGACAGCTTTCTCATGTGTATATGCTTTGCTGTTCAGATAAGAAAGCAGAAATTGACAGTCTTGCAGCAGAATACGTTGAATCAGTGAAGAACATGTTACCCGAGGAGCGAGTGGAACACCTGAAGAAAATCCAGATTGCCTACAGCAAATGTAAAGAGTACAGCGACGATAAAGTCCAGCTGGCCATGCAGACGTACGAGATGGTGAGGATCACAACCAGTGAGACTTCTGTTAAAAACGGTCATACTCTGGAATGGGGCTGCTGGTGGACACGGAAGACATTTCCACAGTGTCCATTTTCCCTGACATATTCATGTTTTGGGTTAAACATCTTAACAAAATAAGTTATTAGTTCTCAAGCTTATTTTTCTTACTGCTGCTCTCCCTTGTGTTAGCAGGTTTTGCGTCAAGTAGGCATCTCTTCTGGTGAAAGGTTAAATGAGTTTATCCCACTTGGAGATTGCTTGATTGGTAGTACTCCTCTGCTGTGTAATAATGCCAGCAAATTTATCCTGCTCCCTCCACCCCAGCAGCTCCCCTGTCACCCGATAATTTATTTAGGGCTGGTCTTAGTCATAAACAACATGTTTTGAAGTCAACTTCAGTACTATATTGTGGAGGAATTAAGGGAAATCTGCCCAATTACCTTCATTTCCAAGTGACAAAAGAAAGCAGACCTGTCAGCTCCACTATTCTGGTTGTATATTGGACACCAAACTTTCCTCGATAGACCTGATGGGAAAAATCTCACTTATAAGATGCAGCTTTCCACTTTTCTGCTTCTAATCCTGTGTCCATTTAGCTGTCCCTTGAATAATTATTATCTTTGTGTGTTTTATCCCATAGATAAAACTTGAGTGAGGGGAATCCTTTTGACTGTACTTAAGCGTGTTTTGTCCAGCTTCTAGAGATGCTCTGGGTTCTGCTACATCTGCAGCTGCAGTACTGCCATCAAATACTGCAGAAAAGTAAATTATTTCACAGGGATTGAAAAATGTCCTAGATAACCACTAATTTGAGGACTAGGTATTGCAGCAACACAGTTTGGGGGTGGTGGCTTAAAATACCTTTGCTACATCTTTGTTCTGTAAGCCACATTATTGCAACCAGGGTAGTACCAAGGTAAACATGTATGGACTTGATCTTGGACATAGTCAGCAGAAGCATGTATTTATTACCAAATTTCTTCGAATAGCGTGCCAGTGAAATGCCGGAAAAAATAGACTGATCTACTCAACACATTTCACGGACATTAGTTGAATAATGTATTTTGAAAATTGCAGGGAGAAAACAATTCTCTTTAACTCTCACCGTCTTGTTTTGTTCTGCAAACCATTAGTCTGAGTTGCTTTGACTCTCCTTTATGCCACCTCCTTCCCCCTTTTCCTTCCTTTCTCTTTGCCTGTATTGGGATTAGGTCCTCTTGCTTTTTCCTGTTTTCCTTTGGCTTTTTTTTTTCCTCCACTTTAATTCCCTTTGTGTGTACCGTTTCCCTTTTTCCAGTTTCATACCCTTTTCATGACTTGCTCTAAAGTATTATACTCCTGTTCATGCTGATAACAGCCTTAGACCTTCCTGTTTTCATTTGAGGATTTTTTTTTTTTAATTCAGTTTGTGGTTTCCTCTTCTGTGCAGGTGGATAAGCATATCCGCCGGCTGGATGCAGATTTGGCGCGGTTTGAAGCAGATCTGAAAGATAAACTGGAAGGCAGTGACTTTGAAAACCCTGGATCTCGAAGCCTGAAAAGTGCGTAAATTTTGTATGTTTGACAGCCTTTTCCAGCACTGAGCATATCTAACCAGAAAGCCTAAGATATAAAGTAGGCTGCTATTTCTGGAGGAAGAAAAGAAGTACACCGTACTGTACTTTTCAACTTCTTTTTAATGCTCTTCAAATATTTACAGTGTTCTGGTGGGCAATAAACAAATGAAGAAAAATCTAGTGCTGGGATCTAACTTACTGTCTCTGCTTGCCAGATCACCCTGAGGTGGCCCGTGGTTACTGGTTGTAAGGAGGCTACTGGCCAAGGGGGAGCTAACTGTGACAAAAATGAACTGATGTTCTTGAGTGTAACAGTTTTAGTTTCAGGCTTGATCTGTTACCAAGTTCTAAGATCTTTTTGAGGAGAGATTTGTTTATTTTCCTCCCTTTACCAGAATTTGAATACTAATCAAGCTGAGAACAGCAGGAAAAATTAGAAGTTAAAGGAAGGTACCAGTTTCTGTAATGTGTACTGGAAATCTCGTATGATTACAGTGACATTTGAGCATGGTTAACAGCAGTAGAGCTTTATGCCTTTGAACTATGAAATAAGGGGTAAGATCAGGGATGTGGAGATAAAAGTTACATTAGTTATTGAGTAACCAATTAACTGGCTGAGTGTTTAAAAATATACTGAGATTTAAAAAAAAAAAACTACTACAGCATGTCTAATCAAATATGATGCTGTTTGTATCTTGTGCAACGATACGGGCTAACATTGTACTGCAGTGATTTAATTGCCAAAACTGTGAACGCAAGAGTTTGGTGCTCAGTCATACTACTTGCCAATTTCACATGTTTGTGGCATAAAAATGTAATTCAGAATCAGCATTCATATTCTATTACATATGAAAGAAGGTTTTCAAAACAATAAATGCATCAAAAGAAAAACATCTGGGGATTTTTCTGGTATTCAAATAAATTGAAATGATGGGTTTTTTTCCTTTATAGAGGGACAAAGTCAGAAAGACAAAAGAGGCTCTCGTGGTCGAGGCAGGCGAATGTCTGAAGAAGATACACCAAAGAAGAAGAAACTGAAAGGAGGGTAAGGCATATCCAGTCACAGCTCTGGTGACTTTGGCTTGACGCTTCATGAATTT